TTGCCTGTGTTCTCCTCTAGGATTTTGATGGAGTCTTGTCTCACATTTAAATCTTTCATCCATTTTGAGTTTATCTTTGTGTATGGTGCAAGAGAGTGGTCTAGTTTCATTCTTCTGCATGTGGATGACCAATTTTCCCAGCACCATTTATTGAAGAGACTGTCTTTCTTCCAGTGGATCGTCTTTCCTCCTTTGTCGAATATTAGTTGACCATAAAGTTCAGGGTCCATTTCTGGATTCTCTATTCTGTTCCATTGGTCTATGTGTCTGTTTTTGTGCCAGTACCACACTGTCTTGATGACCACAGCTTTGTAGTACAACCTGAAATCTGGCATTGTGATGCCCCCAGCTATGGTTTTCTTTTTTAAAATTCCCCTGGCTATTCGGGGTCTTTTCTGATTCCACACAAATCTTACAATAATTTGTTCTAAGTCTCTGAAAAAAGTCCATGGTATTTTGATAGGGATTGCATTGAACGTGTAAATTGCCCTGGGTAGCATTGACATTTTCACAATATTAATTCTGCCAATCCATGAGCATGGAATATTTTTCCATCTCTTTGTGTCTTCCTCAATTTCTTTCAGAAGTGTTCTATAGTTTTTAGGGTATAGATCCTTTACCTCTTTGGTTTGGTTTATTCCTAGGTATCTTATGCTTTTGGGTGCAATTGTAAATGGGATTGACTCCTTAATTTCTCTTTCTTCAGTCTCATTGTTAGTGTATAGGAATGCCATTGATTTCTGGGCATTGATTTTGTATCCTGCCACGCTACCAAATTGCTGTATGAGTTCTAGCAATCTTGGGGTGGAGGCTTTTGGGTTTTCTATGTAGAGTATCATGTCATCGGCGAAGAGGGAGAGTTTGACTTCTTCTTTGCCAATTTGAATGCCTTTAATGTCTTTTGTTGTCTGATTGCTGAGGCTAGGACTTCCAGTACTATGTTGAATAGCAGTGGTGAGAGTGGACATCACTGTCTTGTTCCTGATCTTAGGGGAAAGGGTCCCAGTGCTTCCCCATTGAGAATGATATTTGCTGTGGGCTTTTCGTAGATGGCTTTTAAGATGTTGAGGAATGTTCCCTCTATCCCTATACTCTCAAGAGTTTTGATCAGGAATGAATGCTGTATTTTGTCAAATGCTTTCTCTGCATCAATTGAGAGGATCATATGGTTCTTGGTTTTTCTCTTGCTGATATGATGAATCACATTGATTGTTTTATGAGTGTTGCACTAGCCTTGTGTCCCAGAAATAAATCATACTTGGTCATCGTGAATAATCTTCTTAATGTGTTGTTGGATCCTATTGGCTAGTATCTTGTTGAGAATTTTTGCATCCATGTTCATCAGGGATATTGGTCTGTAATTCTCCTTTTTGTTGGGGTCTTTGCCTGGTTTTGGAATTAAGGTGATGCTGGCCTCATAGAACGAATTTGGAAGTATTCCATCTCTTTCTATCTTTCCAAACAGCTTTTGTAGAATAGGTATGATTTCTTCTTTAAACGTTTGATAGAATTCCCCAGGGAAGTCATCTGGCCCTGGACTTTTGTGTCTTGGGAGGTTTTTGATGACTTCTTCAATTTCCTCCCTGGTTATTGGCATGTTCAGGTTTTCTATTTCTTCCTGCTCCAGTTTTGGTAGTTTGTGGCTTTCCAGAAATGCGTCAATGTCTTCTAGATTGCCTAATTTATTGGCGTAGCGCTGTTCATAATATGTTTGTAAAATCGTTTATATTTGCTCGGTGTTGGCAGTGATCTCTCCTTTCTCATTCATGATTTATTAATTTGAGTGTTCTCTGTCTTCTGTTTAATAAGGCTGGCTAATGGTTTATCTATCTTATTAATTCAACCAACTCCTGGTTTTGTTGATCTGTTCCACAGTTCTTCTGGTCTCGATTTCATTGAGTTCTGCTTGAATCTTTATTAACTCTCTTCTTCTGCTGGGTGTAGGATCTATTTGCTGTTTTTTCTCTAGCTCCTTTAGGTGTAAGGTTAGCCCTTGTATTTGAGTTCTTTCCAGTTTTTGGATGGATGCTTGTATTGCGATGTATTTCCCCCTCAGGACTGCTTTTGCTGTATCCCAAAGATTTTGAACGGTTGTATCTTCATTCTCATTAGTTTCCATGAATCTTTTTAATTCCTTAATTTCCTGGTTGACCCTTTCATCTTTTAGCAAGATGGTCCTTAACCTCCACGTGTTTGAGGTCCTTCCAAACTTCTTGTTTTGATTTAGTTCTAATTTCAAGGCATTATGGTCTGAAAGTATGTAGGGCACAATCCCAGTCTTTTGGTATAGGTTCAGACCCGATTTGTGACCTAATATGTGGTCTATTCTGGAGAAAGTTCCATGTGCACTTGAGAAGAATGTGAATTCTGTTGAGTTTGGATGTAAAGTTCTATAGATATCTGTGAAATCCATTTGGTCCAGTGTATCATTTAAAGCTCTTGTTTCTTTGGAGATGTTGTGCTTAGAAGACCTATCGAGTGTAGAAAGCGCTAGATTGAAGTCACCAAGTATAAGTGTATTATTATCTAAGTATGTCTTAATTTTGGTTATTAATTGATTGATTTATTTGGCAGCTCCCACATTCCAGGCATATATATTGATGATTGTTAAGTCCTCTTGTTAGATAGATCCTTTAAGTATGATATCATGTCCCTCTTCATCTCTCACTACAGTCTTCGGGGTAAATTTTAGTTTATCTGATATGAGGATGGCTACCCTTGCTTTCTTTTGAGGACCATTTGAATGGTAAATGGTTCTCCAACCTTTTATTTTCAGGCTGTAGGTGTCCTTCTGTCTAAAATGAGTCTCTTGTAGACAGCAAATAGATGGGTCCTGCTTTTTTATCCAGTCTGACACCCTGCACCTTTTGATGGGGTCATTAAGCCCGTTCACGCTCAGAGTTACTATTGAAAGATATGAGTTTAGTGTCATCATGATATCTATTCAGTCCCTGTTTTTGTGGATTGTTCCATTGGACTTCTTATTAAAGGGGAATTTTTAGAGTCCCCCTTAAAATTTCTTGCAGAGCTGTTTTGGAGGTCACATATTCTTTCAGTTCCTGCCTGTCTTGGAAGATATTTATCTCTCCTATTCTGAATGGGAGCCTTGCTTGATATAGTATTCTTGGCTGCATGTTCTTCTCATTTAGGACCCTGAATATATCCTGCCAGCCCTTTCTGGCCTGCCAGGTCTCTGTGGAGAGGTCTGCTGTTAACCTAATACTCCTCCCCATATAAGTTAGGTTTTCTTATGTCTTGCTGCTTTAAGGATCTTCTCTTTATCTTTGGAATTTGCAAGCTTAACTATTAAATGTTGAGGTGCTGAACGGTTTTTATTGATTTTAGGGAGAGATCTCTCTATTTCCTGGATCTGAATGCCTGTTTCCCTTCCCAGATTTGGAATGTGGTATTTAGTTTTACTTTCATTCTTTCTGGGGAGACAGAACATGAGAGACTCCTAACTCTGGGAAATGAACTAGGGGTGGTGGAAGGAGAGGTGGGTGGCAGGTGGGGGTGACTGGGTGATGGGCCCTGAGGGGGGCACTTGATGGGGTGAGCACTGGGTGTTATTCTATATGTTGGCAAATTGAATGCCAATAAAAATAAATTAATATAAAAAACAAAAAAATTCATTCTTTCTGTTTTCCATTTTTCAAATTTTCATCTCATTAATTCTTGTGGTTTCAACAGTCATTTCAATCTGAAGACTTCCAAATCTGTATCTCTTGTCCAGGTATTACACTTGAGCTCCAGACCAATGTATTCACCTCCTACCAAATGTTGTCACATAGTCCCCAAGTTCATTATGTTCACTCCTAAATAGCTCTGTTCCAATTTAACTTTACAGCACCAATATGTTCCTAATTTCTAAGCAGTGATGCCTCCTACTTGCCCTCTGCCCAATATCCATTCATTTACAAAGTATTTTTGGTTATTTATCCCTAGTTTTACACAAATTTGTCCCTTCATCCCCACCTTTATTCTCATTTTCTTAGTATAGAGTGAGGATTAATAGCTTGGACTTTGAAGTGAGGCCCAGGTTGGAATCCCGCCTCTTCTATTTATAAGCTCTGACCTTTGTGTAATTTACTTTACCTCCCTGAGCTTAGATTCCACCTTTGTAAAATAAGATTTATATTAGCATCCATCTTACTTGATTGTTGTGAATACTGAATGAAGTAATTCATATAAAGACGTAGCTAAATGCATAGTGAATGCCAAGAATTGGCTAATAATGATGAGGTTAAGAATGATTATTATTATTTAATGATTACTAATGATGGTAAGTATCTAGGTTATCACCATTTCTTCTCTGAACTGTTGCAGTGCCCTAACTTACCTCATTTGTCTCACATGACTTTTCATTCCATTTTTCAAACCATGTTATTCTGGTGTTTTCCTCAAGCACAAATCTGATGATGTTCCTTCTCTGCTTAAACCCATCTGATGACACTCAGTCACTCTAATTCTCATTCAAAAATCACTAAATTCTATTCCTGAAACTAATATTACACTCTATGTTAACTAACTGGAATTTTAAAAAATGAAACTACAATAAAGTTCCAATTATTGACTTGACATTTGTAGCTTCATCTCCTGTGAGTTCCCAGCACCACCTCTGACTTCCACTTTCTCAGCATGCTGTGTTTTGCCGTGCTGCCAAGTCTTTGCAATTTTTAGGTCCATTTGAGTATCCCTTGTACCTATAACTTGTCTGCTAGCCTTGTTCATCCTTTGGGATCAATTAAAGCATATCTTCTCTGGGGAGCTTTCCCCAGGTGATTGTTCCTTCTCCTTTTCGGGGGCATGGCAATAGAATTGTGGCTTAATTAATTGTGAAATTCTTGAGTTCAAGGACTATTTTCTAGGACCCTTGAAGTACCAGTGCCTGGCACAGTAGGCACTGAATAAATATGTGATGAATAATGTTTCTTTATTCTAGACTACAGTTAGAAAAGGAGGGATGATGGTGCATAATACTGTGCCTTATGTCCTTCCAGCTTGGAAGACAATATCAACTCTTTGCTGTGGTTGCCCATGTGGGAGCAGCTGACTTTGGTCATTACTGTGCATATATCCAGAATTCTGTGGATGGAAACTGGTTCTGCTTCAATGATTCCAATGTTTCTTGGGTGAGAATGTTGTCCAAAATTTCATTTTGTCCTGGGTTAGCCACCTCTAATAAATTCTGAGCCCAGGACTAGATGTGTTCTCAAGGTCAGGCCCCATTGTGAGCCAGTTATTTCTGTGCATGGGGCCTTTAAAAACAAGTCCTTTTCTTTATGAAAAGCTTTTTAAACTAAAGCATAATTGGCACAATATTACATTCGTTCCAGGTGTACAATATAATGATTCAACAAGTTCATACATTATGCTGTGCTCACTGGAGGTATAGCTACCATCTGTTCCCATACAATGCTATCAAAGCATCACTGACTACATTCCTTACCCTGTGCCTTTTTCTTTATGAGAGAGAGAGAGAGCGAGTGCGAGTAAGTGGGGGTGAGAGAGGGGCAGAGGGAGAGAATCCCAAGCAGGTTCTATGCTCAGTGCAGAGCCCTGACATGGGTCTCAATCTTATGACCCTGAGATCATGACCTGAGCCAAAATCAGGTTGAATGCTCAACTGACTGAGCAATGAAGGTGCCCTATGCTGTGCCTTTTATTCCTGTGACTTACTCATTCCATAATGGGAAGCCTGTATCTTCCAATCCCCTTCACATTTTTCCCATCCCCACTCCCCACCTTTCTAGCAACCATTGGTTTGTTATATTTATAGGTATGATTCTGCTTAAAGTCCTTTTCTGCATGAAGTCCCCATCTAGCGTATAGCCCTGTGAGAGTCCACGTAGCACAGTATCCAGGTTTTTGGTGTTCTAGCTTCATGCTCTGTGGGAAAGAAAGAAGAGTTAGATATATGCAAAAACCAAGCACAATCAAGTTTAAATGGAGAGACCAAGGATATTAAAAGCATCTTTATAAACATGGCATCCTGACACTGGATGATCCAGGTCTTGGGAGGTACTAGGGGTGGGGTTGTTTGGGTGACTGAGGAAGGGTAAATGGTAGCACCCTGTACTCTCTGGGTGCTTAACATATGTCAGCTGGATGCTTCACTTCATCTATTTATGTACTTCCAGGTATCCTGGGAAGACATCCAGTGTACTTATGGAAATCATAACTACCGCTGGTAAGAAAAGTGTTTGTGTGATGGAAGCCCAATGAGTTCACACAGGGTTCTTTTTTTTTAAGATTTTATTTATTTATTCACGAGAGACACACACAGAGAGAAGCAGAGACATAGGCAGAGGGAGAAGTAGGCTCTCCACTGGGAGCCGGGATCACACCCTGAGCCAAAGGCAGATGCTCAACTGCTGAGCCACCCAGGCATCCTGTACACAAGGTTCTTATTGCTGTATGAAACTCTCATGGATTCAGCTGCCACTTATATTTGGAAAACTCCCCAGTGACTGCTTAGCCTCCTCTCTCATTACATATCTCACCAAACCATGCATTTTTCACAATTTAGATTCCAATAATACTAAAGTATAAGTAGTGCTTCAAATGTCATGTCGTCTATGGCTTTCACATTCAGTTCCTGCTCTGTTTTGCCCTCTCCTAATTTATTATTGAGGCAAAATCCCACTCATGCTATAATATCTCTGTTGATGGCTTCTCCTACTCTGTAGAGCCTTTGTTGATTGACTCCAGAAGATTTTTAGGGGCTTTTCATATGCTTGCCCTGCACTTTAAGCATACTTCCTTTATAGCAAGGACCACCCTGTTTGTAATTGTTTGTTTATATAACTTTTATAACAGGCCATGTATTTGGGAGCAAGGGTCATTCTTTTCTTTTTCTTTGCCTGGTACAGTGGCTTGCATTTAGTAAGTAGCTATAAGTACATCTTTAAAAATCAACAACTGCAGAGGGCAGGTAGAGAAAATAGCTGGATGAAGGTCTTTTAAATTTTTTATTTAAATTCATTAATTTAAATAGTGTATTATTATATCCAGAGGTAGAGTTCAGTGATTCATCTGTTGTATATAACATGTGCTCATTACATCATGTGCCCTCCTTATAGCCTATCTGTCACCAGTTACCCGATTCCCCCACCCACCTCCCCTCCAGCAACTCTCAGTTTGTTTCTTAGATTTAGACTTATGGTTTGTCTCCCTCTCTGATTTCGTCTTGTTTTATTTTTCTCTCCCTTCCCCTAGATCCTATTTTGTTTCTTAAATTCCACATATGAGTGAAATCATATGGTATTTATCTTTTTCTTACATTTTGCTTAGCATAATACCCTCTGGTTCTATATATGCCATTGCAAAAGATTTCAGTTTTTTTTTATGGAAGAGTACTATTGCATTATATATCTATATCTATGTCTATCTATCTATATATTTATCACATCCTCCTTATCCATTCACCTGTCAAAAGACATCTGGGCTTTTTCTATAGTTTGGTTATTGTGGACATTGTGCTTTAAACATTGGGGTGCAAGTGCCCCTTCGAATCACTATATTTGTGTCCTTTTGGCTAAATACCCAGTAGTACAATTGCTGGGTCATAGGGTAGCTCTGTTTTAACTTCTTGAGGAACCTCCACACGGTTTTCCCAAAGTGGCTGCACTAGCTTGCATTCTCACCAACAGTGTAAGAGAATTCTCTTTTCTCTGCATTTTCACCAACATCTGTTGTTTTATGACTTGTTAATTTTAGCCATTCTCACTGGTGTGAAGTGGTTTCTCTTTGTGGTTTTGATTTGTATTTCCCCGATGCTGAGTAATGCTGAATATTATTTTCATGTGTCTGTTGGCCATGTGTAGGTCTTCGTTGGAGAAATGTCTGTTCATGTCTTCTACCCATTTCTTGACTGGATTATTTGTTCTTTGGGTGTTGAGTTTGAGAAGTTCTTTATAGATCTTGGATGCTAGTCTTTTATCTGATACGTTATTTGCAAATATCATCTCCTATTCTGTAGGTTGTCTGTTGCTTTTGTCTACTCTTTACTTTGATGTGAAGAAGCTTTTTATCTTGAAATTCCAGTGGCTCATTTTTGCCTTTGTTTCCCTTGCCTTTGGAGAGGAGTCTAGCAAGAAGTTGCTGTGGCCAAAGTCAAAGAAGTTGTTGCCTGTGTTCTCCTTAGGATTTTGGTGGATTCCTGTCTCACATTCAGGTCTTTCATCCAGTTTGAGTTTATTTTTATGTGTAGTATAAGAAAATGGTCCAGTTTCATTCCTCTGCATGTGGCTGTCCAATTTTCTCAACACCATTTGGTGAAGAGATTGTCTTTTTTCCATTGGATATTCTTCTCTGCTTTTTCAATGATTAGTTGAACATTCAGTTGAGAGTCCACTCTGGATTCTCTGTCCTGTTTCATTGGTGTATGTGTCTGTTTTTGGGTGGGTACTATACTGTCTTGATGATTACAGCTTTGTAATACAGTTTGAAGTCCAGAATAGTGATGCTACTAGCTTTAGTCTTTTTCAACATTCCTTTAGCTATTTGGGGTCATTTCTGGTTCCATACAAATTTTATTTTTATTTTATGTTATTATTATTTTTTAAATTCTTAAAATATATATATATATATTGTATATTTTTTATTGGAGTCTGATTTGCCAACATATAGTATAACACCCAGTGCTCACCCCGTCAAGTGCCCCCCTCAGTGCCCATCACCCAGTCACCCCATCCCCCTGCCCACCTCCCCTTCCACAACCCCTTGTTCATTTCCCAGAGTTAGGAGTCTCTCATGTTTTGTCTCCCTCTCTGATATTTCCCACTCATTTTCTCTCCTTTCCACTATAATCCCTTTCACTATTTTTTATATTCCCCGTATCAACGAAACCATATAATGTTTATCCTTCTCCGATTTACTTACTGCACTCAGCATAATACCCTCTAGTTCCATCCATGTTGAAGTAAATGGTGGGTATTTGTTGTTTCTAATGGCTGAGTAATACAAATTTTAGAATTATTTGTTCCAGCTCTGAAAAATGTTGATGGTATTTTGATAGGGATTTCATTGAACATGTAGATTGTTTTGTGTAGCATAGACATTTTAACAATATTTGTTCTTCCAACCCATGAGCGTGGAATATTTTTCCATGTCTTTGTGTCTTTATCAATTTCTTTCATGAATATTCTATAGTTTTTGGAGTAAGATCCTTTCCCTCATTGGTTAGGTTTTTTTCTAGGTATCTTGTGGGTTTTGATGCATTTGAAAATGGGATGGATTCCTTGATTTCTCTTTCTTCTGCCTCATTGTTAGTGTATAGGGGAAATGCAACTGATTTCTGTGCATTGATTTTATATCCTCCCCCATTGCTGAATTGCTGTATGAGTTCTAGCAATTTTGGATGCTGTCTTTTGGGTTTTCTACATAGAGTATCATGTCATCTGCAAAGAGTGGAATTTGACTTTTTCTTTTCCAATTTGAATGCCTTTTCTTTATTTTTTTTAATCTGATTTCTGAGGCTAGGGCTTCCAGTACTATGTTCAACAAAAATGGTGGGAGTGGGCATCTCTGTTGTGTTCCTGACCTTAGCAGAAAAGCTCTTAGTTTTTCCCCATTAAGAATGATATTCACTGTGGGCTTTTCATAAATGGCTTTTATGATATTAAGGTATGTTCCCTCTACCCTAACAATGTGGAGAGTTTTAATAAATAAATTGTTTTTTTCTTTGAAACACTTTGAAACAATTGTTTTTTCTGCATCTATTGAGAGGATCATAGGGTTATTGTCCTTTCTTTTATTAATGTGGTGTATCACATTGATTGATTTGCAGATGTTGAACCATCCTTGCATCCTAGGAATAAATTCCATTTGGTCTGGTGAATAATCCTTTTAATATACATTTATTGGCTAGTATCTTGGTGAGTATTTTGACATTAATGTTTGTCAGACATATTGGTCTGTAATTCTCCTTTGTGATAGGGTCTTTGTCTCTGGTTTTGGGGTCAAGGTAATGCTGGCCTCATAGAATGAGTTTGGAAATTGTTTTCCATTTATCTTTTTTGAAACAACTTCAGAATAATAGGTATTAGTTGTTCTTTAAATGTTTGGTAGAATTCCCCTGGGAAGCCATCTGTCCCTGGACTTTTGTTTCTTGGTAGGAGTTTGATGACTGCTTCAAATTCCTTGATGGTTATTGGTCTGTTCAGGTTTTCTATTTTTTCCTGTTTCAGTTTTGATAATTTGTAGGTTTCCAGCAATGCATCCATTTCTTCCAGATTGCTAATTTGTTGGTGTATAGTTGCTCACAATATGTTCTTATAATTGTTTGTATTTCTTTGGTGGTTGTTGTGATCTCTCTTCTTTCATTCATGATTTTATTGATTTGGGGCCTTTCTCTCTTTGTTTTTTGATAAGTCTGGCTAGGGGTTTATCCATCTTGCTAAATCTGTCAAAGAACCAGCTCTTACTTTCATTGATCTGTTCTATTTTTCTTTTGGTTTCTAGATCACTGATTTCTGTTCTAATCTTTATTATTTCTCTTATGCTTGATGTAGGCTTTATTTGCTGTTATTTCTACAGCTCCTTTAGGTGTAAGGTTAGGTCGTATATTTGAGATCTTTCTTGTTTCTTGAGAAATGCTTCTATTGCTATATACTTACATTTAGGACCACCTTTGCTCCATCAAAAAGGTTTTCATTTCCTTGTTTCCATGCGTTAAAAAAATATTCTTTAATTTCTTGGTCGACCCATTCCTAATCTTTTGTAGGATGCTCTTTAATCTCCATGCATTTGTTTTCCTTTCAAATTTTCTCTTGTGATTGAGTTCAAATTATAAAGCATTGTGGTCTGAAAATATGCAGGGAATAATCCCAATATTTGGTATTGGTTGAGGCCTGATTTGTGACCCGATTTGTGATTTATTATGGAGAATATTCCATGTGCACTGGAGAAGAATATGTATTCTGTTGCTTTAGGATGGAATGCTCTGAACGTATCTGTGAAGTTTATCTGGTACAGTGTGTTATTCAAAGCCCTTGTTTCCTTTTGATATCCTTAGATGATATCCCCATTGCTGTGAGTGGGATGTTAAGTTCTCGGCTATTAATGCATTATTACCAATATGCTTCTTTAAATTTGTTATGAATTGATTTATATATGTGGCTACTCCCAAGTTACGGGATAAATATTTACAATTGTTAGATCCTCTTGTTGGATACGCCCTTTTATTAT